AAAAAAAAAAAAAGGAAAAAAAAGTGACTGTTAAATGTGATTTAACCGGGCTTGGTGGCTCAGCCTATAATCCCCTACTTTGGGAGGCTGAGGTGAGTGAATTGCCTGAGCCCGTGGGTACGAGACCCACCTGGGCAACTTGGCGAGACCTCATCTCTACAATAAATCGAAAATCAGCCGGGCATGGTAGCACGCGCCTATAGTTCCAGCTACGGAAAACTCTACCAAAAACTGTAACTAGAATCCTGACAGTCCACTGGGGCAGCCTGGCACAGCAAGAGGCCACTTCAGGGAAGGTGGAAGGATCGCTGGAGACCGGGCAGGTCGAGGCTGCGGTGGCCAGGAACGGCCACTGCACTCCAGTCTGGGCAACAGAGTAAGACTCCAACTCAAAAAAACCCACAGCATTGGCCGGGCACAGTGGCTCATGCCTATAATCCCAGGACTTTGTCTGAGCCCATGGGTTCGAGACCAGCCTGGGCAACTTGGCGAGACCTCATCTCTACAATAAATCAAAAAGTTAGCCAGGTGTAGTAGTGTGTGCCTGTAGTTCCAGCTACTTGGAAGGCTGAGGTGAAAGATAGCCTGAGCCCAGCAGGTGGAGGCTGCGGGGGCCGTGAGTACGCCACTGCACCCCAGCCTGGGCAACGGAGTGAAACTCCAACTCAAAAAAAAAAAAACGCAACCCCCCCCTTGTTTCTTGCTTGACTTTCTTCCCTAGCATTTTTGGAAATGTTCCCACCATACTGCAATTTGGGTTCTGCTTTTGACAGCAAAGCTTATGGGAAAAGCAGCCAGGTGCAGTGGCTCACACCTGTAATCCTAGCACTTTAGGAGGCTGGCGTGAGAGGATTACCTCAGTTCAGGGGTTCAAGACCAGGCTGAACAACATGGTGAGACTTCACCTCTACAGTTAAAAAAAAAACAAAAACACTTTGCCAGGCGTGGCAGCATATGTCTATCGTTCCAGCTACTTGGAAGGCTGAGGCAGAAGGATCTCCTGAACTCAGCAGGTCAACACTGGGGTGGCCGTGAGCATGCTACTGCCCTCCAGCCTGGGCCACAGAGTGAGACTCCAACTCAAAAAAAGCTACGGGAAAAGCAAAGTTTAGGGTGGGACATTCTTGGTACGGAAAACTCTACCAAAAACTGTAACTAGAATCCTGACAGTCCACTGGGGCAGCCTGGCACAGCAAGAGGCCACTTCAGGGAATACCACGAACACCCAAAAACAACCACACAGAAACAGGGCTAGGCACGGTGGCTCACACCTGTCACCCCAGCACTTCAGGAGCCAAGGAGGGAGGATCAATTGAGCCCAGGAGATTGAGAACAGCCTGGGCAACATAGTGAGACCTTGACCCTACCAAAAAATAAAAAATTAGCTGGGTGTGATGGCGCCTGGAGTCCCAGCTACTCGGGAGGCTGCAGAGGGAGGATCACCTGAGCCAGGAGATGGAGACTGCAGTGAGCTATGATCGTGCCACTGCACTCCAGCCCGAGCCACAAAGTAAGACCCTGTCTCTAAAAAAAAAAAAAAAAAACCCAAATGGAGAGTACTTCCTGATATGTGAAAATTACATGAAATTTCAGTCCCAGCACATACAAATAAAGTTTTATTGGCACATGGCCACAGCCATTCGCTGGCTGGCTCAGAGCGGCTTCTGGGAGGCCCCATGCGGCCTGCACAGCTGCGCGTATTCACTATCCAGCGCTTAGAAAAAGCTGTCTGCCCTGCTGGTGGGTTCCTAGAACACTCTGGGACCCCTTGTCTATCACCTGAGAGCAAGGACATGCGCGCCTGGCGACCATGAGGCCAGGCAGAAGGAAGCGGCACCGGGACACAGATGGCAAGAGCAGCTGCCACTCACCCGCCTCGTGGCGCACCATGGGCTCCTGGCGCGTGTCGCGCAGCACGTCCACCAGCACGGGGATGGCGCGGGGGTCCTGCATCTGGCCCAGGCAGTAGGCGAGCTCGTGTTTGAGCAGGGCGGACTCGTCACTGAAGGCCCGGCTGATCCAGGCAATGGCGCCCGGGCCCCCCAGGCCCCGCAGCGTGAACAGCGCCCGGAAGCGGGTCTGCAGGGGCTGTGCAGGGTCCTCCAGCGTCCGCCCGATGGCCTCCACCTCCTGCTCGGTCACCATGGTGCCCGCCTCCAGCTGCTCTGCTCAGGCTAGGCCACGGCCTGTGGGCACAGGAACCTACAGCAGAAAAACGAGAACCAGGTTAGAGGCACCCTTCACAGTTCACGGGCTCATTCCTAAGACTTGGGCATGGCGGTCTCCTACTCACTGACCCTCCTGTACTTCTGGCTGAAAGCCCAGCTCTGGCAGGACGTGGTGGCTAACACCTGTCATCCCAGCACTTGGGAAACTGAGGCGAGAGGATTACTTGAACCCAGGAATTCAAGACCAGCCTGGGCAACAAAGCAAAACCCTGCCTCTACCAAAAAAATAAATAAACAAACCCAAAATTAGTCAGACGTGGTGGCACGCACCTGTGGTCTCATCTACTTGGGAGGCTGAGGCGGGAGGATCATTTGTGCCCAGGAGGCCAAGGCTGCGGTAACCCTGATCATCCCACCGCACTCCAGCCTGGGCAAGAGTGAGAACTTGAAAAGAAGAGAAACAGCAAGCCAGGCTCGGTGGCTCAGCCTGTAATCCTGCACCTTTGGGAGGCTGAGGTGAGTGGATGGCCTGAGCCCGTGGGTTCAAGACCCGGCTGGGCAACTTGGCGAGACCTCATCTCTGCAATAAATCAAAAATCAGCCGGGTGTGGTAGCGTGCGCCTGCAGTTCCGGCTCCTTGGAAGGCTGAGGTGGGAGGATCACCAGAGCCCGGCAGGTCGAGGCTGCGGTGGCCGGGAGCGGCCCCTGCCCTCCAGTCTGGGCAACCGAGTGAGACTCCAACTCAAAAAAAAAAGAAAAGAAACAGCATACAGAGTTCCAATCCAGGTGTCTGGCCCCAGACACTTTGCTGAATGGATAAACTCTGAGAAAACGACACAGCCAGGTGAGAGAGGGGACCCCCCTGCCCTCGCGACCAGCTGAGAATCTGGGGGTTGCTCCATGGACAGGACAGGCTGTGACAGGCTATGACACATCAGGCCCTCTGGGGCAGCGTCAGCAGGGCTGCCTGGGTTTAACGAGGAAGCTGCCGCCGCCTAAGCACAGGTGCCATCAAAGGAGAGTGACACCTTGACAGACAGGTCATCAAAGACCAGGGTCAGGATTGTGTGAGCTGGGACTCTGACTGCTAGGGACCATAGAGACACTACTTCTTATTTTTTTGAGTCAAGGTCTCTGTCGCCCAGGCTGGAGTGCAGTGGCACAATTACGGCTCACCACAGCCTGGAACTCCTGGGCTCAGGTGATCCTCCCGCCTCAGCCTCCCAAGTAGCTGGAACTACAGACGCGCGCCACCCTACCCAGCTCATTTTTTAGTTTTCTGTAGAAACCAGGCCTCCCCGTGTTGGCCAGGCTGGTCTCGAACTCCTGGGCTCAAGGAATCCTCCAGCCTTGACCTCCCAAAGTGCTGAGATGACAAGCGTGAACCACCCTGCCTGGCCTAGTCTCTTCATTTGGAATAAAAATATGAGCCCTGGCTGAGCGTGGTGGCTCAAGCCTGTCATCCCAGCACTTTGGGAGGCCGAGGTGAGTGGATTGCCTGAGCCCACGGGTTCGAAACCAGCCCGGGAACTTGGCAAGACCGCAACTCTACAGTAAAATTTTAAAATTAGCTAGGTGGGGTAGCGTGCACCTGTAGTTCCAGCTACTTGGAAGACTGAGGCGGAAGGATCGCCGGAGCCCAGCAGGTGGATGCTGGGGTGGCCATGAGCGTGCCGCTGCACTCCAGCCTGGACGGAGAGAGTGAGACTCCAACTCAAAAAAAGTATGAGCCCACTGGTCTTGGGTGTCCTTGAAGTCTGCTCAGATATGATCTCCCTGGGGAGGCCTTCTTTGACCACCCTGTCTAACAACCTGAGCCCCTAAGGCCCATGGGATACCCAGGGCCCGTCCAGTATTAGATCTCTCCCAAGGGAGCCCCACACCTGCCGCTGTGCTCGGGAGGACTGGGGAGGTTACACCTAGCCACCTCAACGCCCATAACTCACCCCTGAGGTCCATTTTCCCTTGAAAAAGACAGCAAGGGACAGGGGTGGGGTTGAGAGGCCTGAGGTCTTACAGACACGAGGAATAAGAAAGGAAGAACGGGACCTGCGTGCCGGAGCCCCTCCCTCCTAGACACCCCTCTCACTCGAGGATCCACCAAAGGCACGGCACAGTGGCTCCAGCCCCAAATCCCAGGACTTTGGGAGGCCGAGGCAGGAGGATCGCTTGAGGTCAGGAGGCGGAGACCAGCCTGGGCAACATAGTGAGATCCCATCTCTAAAAAAGTTTTTTCTGAGCCGGGGTCGGTGGCTCAGCCTGTAATCCTGCGCCTCTGGGAGGCTGAGGTGAGTGGATG